ATCTGCTTGAGTCGGCTCGTTATCCAAAAAACCTTAAGAGATAACATGAGTAAAGAACTGAGATATGTTTAAATTACAGAAATTAAACAATTTTAAAAAATATGAGAAAATAAATGCGAAAATCTGGGAAAAAACAAAACTAAGATAGTTTAATTTAAATAATAAAATAATAAATAAATAATAAAATGAAAAATAAAAATAAATAAAATAAACTAGCTTACCTTTATGTATCTCCAATTAGTTAGAGTAATTACAGTGGACACAGAACACTTGAACTTTTATGATAAACCTCAAAATATGAAAAACGTTTTTATAAATACTGCTTTTAAAATATTGCAATTCAGATTTCAAAATGTTTCATATAAATAAATGGAATTTTATTTCAATCATGATGATTTCAAAATTGTTCTTTTACGACCGACACTGTTTTACTTTTTCACTTCATTATCGTATAGCAATGAACATTTCCTATTTCCCAAATTCCAGTTACAAAGTTTTGCATTTCTATGTGGTTCAAAAAATGAATAATCTAGCTACCACGCGTAGTTTGCTTTCCAAAGAATGTCCATCACAAATCAGTAGACAGAAATACTTGGTATCTGGGAATCAACATTCAATCCACCAAATCTAAGTAAACGGCCGTGTCCGGTGTTTCCCCTTTCTCTTACAATTCACTAAATATAGCAACCAAATCACTAGTAAATCACATAATGCTAGATTTTCTTGAGTATTCAATATTTTCCTCATTTTCTTTCTATACGGCAGTTTGCTTGTATGTATTGCCAGAATTAGATAACAGATCAAATAAATATAATAAATATAGAAAACAAATAATGAAATATTTAACTATCGAAACAGGCTAGAGAGAAAACGTAAACGTAAGTGATGCGATTATTTCTTAAAACTCATTTTTCATGCCCTGATTATATAATTCCCTTTGCATTACGAGTGCCTTATAGCGAATTAAGCCTGTTTCTTCAATGCTCGTAAAAGATTAGTTGCTAGCCCGGGCTGCGGGCTTACTGAGCTCTACTCTAATAAGCACTTTGGTCATACATTTGAGGTAAGCTGACACGACCTTAAAGCCAATTACCATTGGACTGTACAGAGTGCACACTTAATACAAATGTTTTAGAAATATGTTCATGCTTTATTTTTTAATGCTTGTGGCATGACGGCGTTTCTTTTTCAATGAGAGGCAGAAATTGTTGCCGAAAATGCGGCAAATGTGTTAAAATCGAGCTGTCATAATTCGAAACGCGATAAAGCTTGAAACGAGTGAAGTTTGCGGTTATTTGCAGACTTATCAGATGCAACAAAATATACTCGTACTCGTATATTTGTGTGCTCAGACTTAACTGATATATGGAAAGATAGTACGCTATGTGTCATAGCTTGTGCGTCAGTTGAGATAGTGGAGCGAGTTGTTGCCACCATTTGTGGCCCTGGAGTTGAAGCGATATGTGAAATGTGGCACGTTTAGCTTGTTTGGTTCGTTCGGTTTGGATTTAGTGGGACCTTTTGACCAGCATTCCATGTACGACTGTTTTTTGCTTACTTTTCAAATGGCACGTGCTGGCCACAACACCGTCACCCACAATTACACCTACCTATGTATATACGGGTATATGCTCGCACATAAATACAATTAGATGCTCTATGGCCAGAGGAAATTGAAGTTTATGCCATGCTCACAAATTGTGAATGTCTTGGCATATTTAAGTTCCTAACCTAGCCACAAAGCTGACTTCATTAATCATTTATAAATATTAATGCACTTTGCTGTTGAACTCTGGGGATTGCCGGTTCGCTTTTAACGCACATACTCTTACACAATCTGTGTTCGACTGTATGAACGCTGTCTTATTGGATGCTGCAGGAGATACAAGCACCAAAGTTGTTATGAGAGTTGATTATACAAATTCACTTAAACTACAAGTATGCTCTAGATGCTAACCATATGAAGCAGATGGCCTACAATTTTTACAATTTTTGAACTGAATAAAATACCAACTTGAAAAATACGCAAAATAGAAGCTACTAAGAAAACAAAAGACGAAAAGGCGACTAATAACGAAAAGAAAGAAATAATTTCTATCAGTTTATTTGGTTTTTTCTGTTATGGTTTAAAACCATCTGTAAATCATAGCTTTTTTCTATATCCTCTAAATGAATTTTTCTTGTAACAGGCTGTGATTAAAAAACTTTTTGCATACATTTTAAATTGACTTCTGTGCGATCTTCGGCCTTATAATTTAAGCACTTCCCGTTGGCAAAATCCACAGCTGAGTATTACCTAAATATTGTTTATAAACGTGAGATATTTTTCAACATTTTCGAGGACACAAAAGATTCTTGAAGCTCTCGATTCATGCAAGCCTGCGAGTTTCTTTTGTCCAGAATACTAAAATATAATTTCAAAATCGACATAACGAATTACATAAAAAGCAAGAGCATATCAAATTCGTTCTTCTATTTACGTGTATTTACGTTGTTTTTTTTTCAATTTTGTCTGGTCTCGCTCTCTACGCATTTATCATTATAATTTTGCCAGCTTCCTGCGCTACAATTTTGTATAATTTCTGTACTTTTTTTTGCATTTTGTTTACTTTTATCAGCGGTCGTTGAAACAACAGGCTAAGGCGTATTTTTCTACATGAGGTACGAGTATAATTTATTTTAATTAATGCAGAAAATAGTGACAGTTATTGAGTTTAATAGCAACTTTTTTTTGCGCCGGCTGGTGCTGCGATTGTTATTGGTAGTCGTCATATCATAGTATTGTTTATATACAAGTATTTTAATCAAATCAAAACAGCTGCCACAACTGGCGGCAAAATACAGATGTTTGGATGAAGGAAAGATAGCACAGAGAGTAGATAAATGAATTGGATAGCGCTGGCCAGCAAGGTAGATAGATACGAGTATATAGTAGATTGGACAAAAGACGGTTAGATGTTGGTTGGCTAAGTAAAAGCAGGCCACTAGCTTATGAAGAATGTAACGAAATAAAACGCCGGAAAGCTGCGGGCAGTAACATTTATCCAGCCCAAATGCAAATTAGATTAACTGTAATTTAACGAGACATCAAACTGAGCTCCGAATAAAGCGAATGAGGCTTGTAAAAGCGCTCGCGAAAGCTGAAGTAAGCGCACGGAACCAGGCCAAGTGAAGACAGAACTGAAGTTGTACTAAACTTAAATGAGATGCGATGCGAAAGATGCCGAAGATGCGAAAGATGAGACGCAGTAGGTGTTAATGTTAATGATAATGATAAATGGGTATGGGGTATGGGGTTGGGGTTGGGGTATTTCCTAAACTTTATGACAGCGCGTGAGTCGTGGGTGTGCCGGGTTGCGAAGAGCGAACAATTTTAATGATTATACGTATATAAAACTTCTTACCACTACGTTTGAGCACAAATGGCCAGAGAATAATACACGGCCAAAATTTGGTGCAAACGAATGCTGCATCTACATAATTAAAATACTTAATTAAAATGTTAAAGATATTAAAAGCAATTAAATGAGATAAAAGAAATATAAAGTGCAAATATCAATTATATTAAATAAATGATTAGGAAAATATTTTATAAATTCCTGCATTGTTCTTGTCATCTCAAGTAAAATGATTCACAAATATACTAAAGATCACTTAGTGGGTTCCCTACAAGTCTGAAAAAATATTCTTCGTGTAAATTAAATTACAGTTTGTTAATGTCCGGTTCACTAACGTTTTCTCGCTTCCGAATTGAAACTCTTACTATTTCTTAGCCTACCCCGGCCTACTAGTTCGATATTGATTTACTGGTTATATTTATTATTTAAGTATTTTTCCGATGTAGCGTAGAAATTCTTAACAATGCTTAGAAATTCTTAAGCCCGGGTCATGGACTACAAACACAAAAACTAAATTCCAAAAAATAACATAAACGCGTCCTTTCTCGGACCTAGGAGAATCTGGATGCCAACTTTGGTTATTCTAGCTTTTATAGTTTCTGAGATCCTTGCGTTCATCCAGACGGACAGACGGACGGACATGTCTAGATCGATTTCGCTCGTCATGCTGATTCAGAATATATATACTTTATGGGGTCGGAGATGCTTCCTTCTGCATGTTACATACTTTGCACAAACCTAATATACCCTTTTTACCCTACGGGTACAGGGTATAAAAATACTTGGAAATTGCAGTCAATTGGTTATTATCAATAGATACTTGTACAATTGATATTCTAAGGAACAACTACTTTAGAAACTAAAAACAACCTAGAAATTCCAAAAATATCCTACACCATTGGACTAATCAAAATGTTGCATAAAATACTTCACTTAAATTATTTTATTATGTTAATTAAAAAGGTAATACAATTACAACTTTGAAAATGAAAATATCTTATCATTGCAAGCTTTCTAAACATTTTCAGGGATTGCTTTTTGCCTTGTTGATCTTTGTTTTCATAAGGCTGCACATTTGTACAAAAAATATGAAGCCATCTAGCCAATATGTTTAATATAATGCCCAAAATGTTGCTGATCATATAAATGGGTATGCAATTTCTTTAATGGTTTCTTTTTTCTTTGTACGATTTCTGAATCAAACACCTTGTTCTCCAACTTTCTTAGAAATACAAAAAATAACTCCTATATCTCTAGACTTATTTATATAAGTTCCTGTATTACCTCAAATTTTATTTTAAAGCTACTTATAATCGGCCACTGCATTATTTGTAAATCTACCTTGTCGCTCATATTTTTGCTGCTTGCTCGGATTACTTTGGAAGCCCTGCCACAACACTTAGTTTTAATTTAGGAACCAGTTTAAATGCAGCAGGCACTGACAAACTAATTAGTCATAGTTCAACACTCTACAATTCCTAGTCCAGTATCTTATTTATTTAGAGCGAAAATTGTTCAGTTTTTTTTTTTATTTAGCTACAATACGTTTAAAATTTCACTGAACACCCACTGAACACACATACATAGATCGTTAAAATAAAGATGGTGGATACTCGTGATCTGTTTGAGGCCATTGCCGATGTTGCTGATTATTGTCAGTTAAGGGTTGCGATTCCACAGCCAGGCAAAGGATTCCTGGTTTGTGCGATATTCTCCGTTATGGGTCGCCTGCTTCTGGGGCCAGTTGGGATGGCCATTGGTGGCACTTTGGGCGGCATTGCTGCCTATAATATGACCAGCAACAAGTTCCGACCGATGGGGGATGTCCTAATGAACGATCTGACGAGCAGGCAGCGCGAGAGCCTGATGCAAAAATTGTTCAAGGCCGAAGGAGGCTTACGTTCGCGGGAAATGGGCATCCTTCTGCCCATGATCATGCACAATAAACGAACTCAGCAGACGGTGCTCACCATCGTCGTCGAGTTCTTGACCAATGAACTGAATATGCGGGTCTCCGACTGAAGGTGAATCGGATTCTGATTCCATTCTCAGAAGCGGCTAGTTGTGGCCAGTGGCAGTTAAAAGTGTCTTTGAAATGTTGTTGGTGTCCTTTATTAAATACAAATAATAATAATAAAATAAATTATAGAAGTTACAAAATAGACGATTATTGAATTTTAATCAATAATAATAATAACAATTGGAGTATTTGAATTAATATATTAAGAAGAATTATACTAGGATGGTTAGAGTGGTTAAAATAGAACAAATATTAAAAGCATATTTAAATTATGGTTGAAATAATTGCTTCTTTTAAACAGTTTTGGAATTGTTTGTGTTTTAATTTGGTTGTGATGGTAAATAAAAGCGCTCCATTTACTAAACAAAACATCGAGTTTATTTATTTATAATAATAAATAAATTTAAATTGTCCAGCAATAGTTCCCTTCAATCAGAATTCGCAAATCCGAACAGCCTGCGCCACTGGTTTGAAATACAAATACACAAATAATGTTTTGTTTGTTATTTTAAAATATAAATATTTCTTCAAAGAGAACAAGAAGCCAATCCACGCTTTTAAAATATGAAAAGCCCACCTAAATGGATAATGTAATTATATTTGTACTAAAAGCATCAGATTTTACTAAAAACTGAAAGTATTTTATAGTTTTCGAGTTGATTTCTTATCAATTTGTTATTGTATATAATATTTCAAAACCCTTTAAACCTCTATTTTAGTAGAATTCAATTAATTGAAATATTAATCGGAACAAATCACGGATACTAATAATAAAATAAAATTTATTGAAAACAATTCCATTCTAAATTGTCATCTGATGGTCAACAAAAACAAACAAATCTGAGAACACTATAGCTTTTAAATATTTCTGAAAAGCTTCATTTTGTTGACAGAAAAGAGCTCGATCCAGCGACACACAAAACTTGGCAATTGCTTAAAGAATTTGCTTACTAAATGAATCGGATTTTATTGCAAAACTGTTTAGCGCTTCTCTTTGATCGTAAGATAAGCCTAACGGCGGACGGATTAAAAAATGCAAATAGACTTTCTGACACAATTCTTTGTTGCATAGTGCTGGGGCACAAAGAAACATATAGCATGTCTATTAACGACAAATTACCGCGTCGCTATAACAAAAAGGAAAATAAGGCAACACATATGGTCAAAACGTATTAACCAAATGCAATTGAGCGGCTAGTGGCAAAGCTCAAAAACATACCGAATCGCTGCGTGAGAATGCCAATGAATGAATGAAAATAGTCAGCAATGTTTTGTTGTTGTTGTTGTATTTGCTGACAAATTCAATAGTCGCCGTGTGATGAAAATATCTGTAAACAAGCTGCGACAAAATGAGGCTGATTTTAATCAAGCCGCACATTATTGTTTTTGGCCATTCTAGTTGCTTTACTCGCAGTATATACAATGTACTTATATACTTGTATATATAGTATATATATATATAAGTGAAGCCGATGAATCAGAGGCCAACGGAAATACAAAACGAGAAAAAGTCACAGCTGGCGCTGTTGTGGCGGGGGGCATTCGAGAAGTTTTATTTCTATTTGTTGTGCAAACCGCAAATATTGTTACAGTTTTTGGGGGCAGAGCCGAAAACTGACAGTATAAACTCGTATGTGTGTTGTTTTTGTTGTTGTTGTTTTGTTGCTAGCTGCTGCCTTGAATTGTGCCTGGCAGTGTTTTTTGTTGATGTTGTTGTTGGTCTCTTTGGTTTTGTCAGCTTAACTTCATTGTCGCCTTGTCACTCGTTTCCATTTTTTGTTGTTGCTGTGGCGGCTCTTGATTGCCCATATAACGCCACAAAGTGGACCAGCAATGGGGCAGCTAAGTCGTAAGCCTGTAATAGCAACAACAACAGCAACAGCAACAAAAGCTGTCTTAAATTGTATTGTATATTATCTACATATATCGGATGCGGAATATTGTGGTTGCTGAGTTGCCGCTCAAGCTGATTTCCATATCCATATGCATATGCATATAATAATTATTGAAAGAATTTATTTATAGCATTGCGATTTGGTGCACCACTCAACTCTAAACTGGTTTACACATACAACTACACATATATCCACATGCATACAAGTATAGTGCGGGTTTTTGTGTTGTGGCTTTAAGCCGACAATCGTTTAAGCCAGTGACGTTTTTGTCAATATGCTGACGCATTTTAAAGAATTTCTGCATCAAAAGATGATGATGATGTTATAGCCAGGTAGTTGCTATTTCTTTAAAGAAGAAAATCCTCACTTAAGTTAAAGTGCTGCAATCTTTCGCTTTAAGTTGAAAGCTAATAAATGGCGGTAAAAGTAAATAAATGAATTAAGGTATTAATGGAAATTTGATTGAGTAATTATTGGGACGTCATGAAAAGCTGTCTGGCCAGTTTTTACGTTTTAGTTAAATAACTTTAATATTAAATATTAATTTGTAAATTGTTACCATGTCAGCATTAATTAACAAGCATAAAAATGGTGCTAAATACAATTACTTAATTATTAATTTTTTAATGTACCGGGAGTACAAGTAGTTGTAAGAATACTCTTTACAGCAAATTTTATTTTCTTTCCACTTTTTTTGGCTGACAATTGGTCGTTTCTAAAACTCGTTTTATTTTATTTATTTATTTGTTTATTATTTCCTAGTGCGACATGAAAATTTCTTATAATCTAATGCACCAGTCATGAAAGAAATATACCTAATTTTCAATTTACATGGCCTTTTTTAATGGTGTTTAATATAACGCGGTTTGCAAAATAAAAATTGTATACATGGTTGCACGACTTTATTCCATTTAGCACGATTCAAAATAACATATGATAAATATCTTTTTTTACACCTTACACTTTTTCGGATTCAATCTACCGTCTAAAAACAGAATTAGGTGTATTAAGAAATATAAGAAATATTATTGAAGAAAGCATTAGGTTTTTAATAATGAAGTTTTATATCTGATATTTTTTCTCCCAATATTAAAAACACCTGCTGACAACTTCTCTCTATATGTGCGATGCTTTTTCTTAATCTATTACTATAGAAGCTGTGCTCAGCTTAGAAAAACAAAGCTAGTCTAGGCTAAAACACTGCTATTTTATCTTCATGCTACACATTCCATTATGCACGAATTTCTGGAAAATTACTTTCCAGTTTGTGTGTATAAATATTTTGGCAATTATTTTCGGTTTTTGCTGACCTGTCTAATGGAATTTAATAATCACCTCCATATGATGACATCTCATAGCTGATTTCATCACCTGCTAATTGCGCACTGTTCACAAAAAGAGAGAAATAGCAAACAAATACGAAATTATTGCCACTTGCTGCTGCCCACATGAACATGTATCCTATATAAGTAGTTCGTATATGTATGCGATACAAGTACTATCGTGTGGGATTCTCAGCTGTTTGAAATTATTATTATTTTGTTGCTACTGTGTGTGTTGTTTGTGGCAACTTCTGTGGCATTGCTCAAATCTCTTTCAGCTCACATGACCAGTTATGGCAGACACTTGAAGCTAAAGTCTAAGCCATATTCCTATTAGCATTTATTTCCATTTCCTCTGCCATCTGTCTGTATATATGTATGTACTATAAAGTATGTGCATACAGAGAGTATTAGTTAGCATGCAGACACTGCCATTGCATTCCCTCATTCATTTTCCGTGTCAAGTATATACGCTTTTGGCCCAAACACAAAACATTTCCTTTGCATGTATTCTTTCTTTATTTTCTAGAATTCGCTCTTCCCCCATTTCCCCATTCGCATGCAAGTGCAACTTTTGTGGCGTTTGTCTTGCTTCGCCATTGACTACTCGTGCCTTTTATTGTTCTCTGTTCTTGGCCAATTCTGGCTTTAAGGCGTCTTGGTTTTCATGGTTGGTTGTCTTGTGCATTGTGCCCTTTTTTGGCATGCACCATCGGGTCTCGTTTGCTTGACTTGCCACAGCTCGACGGCTCATTGATTGCTCGATTCGAGTTACAAGTAGAGTTAGAAACACGAGTTTGACCGCGTCCAGCCAGCGATCTAACAAATACTATATATATACAAAATCAGCTCAATTATTCAACTTATTTTGCTCTGCTTTGCTTACGGGCCCAATTTAAATGTATTTTGGCCAACAACATCAGCAATGGATGGCAATAACAATAACGGCGACGGCGCATTGTTATAGTCGAGACATGAAATGGCGAATCTTATTAATGCAACACACTTACACATACATTTACACACACACACACACACACATACACACATTTGAGACAAAGTGGCAAAGGTGAAGATACACTTCAAAAGCTACTGAAGTGTGCGTCGTTGAGCCACTAGAGTTGAAACCAAAAAGTTTTGCGACTGAAAACAACAGCAATAAGAACACCACAGTAGACACTCGATACAATCATTGTTTGTTAAAATAATTTTATTAATTTATTTACTCAGTACGTTTAATTTTAAGCTAAATTTAAAGGACTAGGTGGATATCAAGTTAATCCTTATTAGTAATAGTCTGCACATACATTGATTTCTTTACCAATATATTTTGGTTATTTTATTTTCAATTTATTTCAATTTTAATTTCTTTTGCTGAACTTTAAAGTTCGGTTCATTAACAAAATTAAATTAATAATTAATTCCGTAAAGTTGACCCGCAAATGGGGGAAACCAACTTTTTGGTAGATGTGAAGTGGCTTAAAAACTTTGATAGCCATATGCAGCTATTGTGGAGCTTGTCAAAAAATGTATTTATTAAAGAATTGCTGATAAAATGTATATACATTCATAGGAAGTTTGTGAAGAATTCAATTTTTTTATTATTTATTATGAAATTTTGTTTTAAATTGATTCGCCTTTTAAATAAGATATTTTTTGGGTATTTGGCAAATGGCAAGTAATCAAATAGACCACTTCACTTATTGAGCACTTAACTATTAAATTATTAATCAATTAGTAATAATTATTTCCCATTCAACAGTATGTTTACATTTTGAAATAATC